ATTCCTAACTTAGTTTTTCTTCTAATTAGTGAAAGTGAATTTGACAGGCCTCTAATGTAGATGTAGTTCCTTTGATCTGTGATGCATAACCGAGATGAAAAGGAACCTGAAATCTGCTTGCTCAGAACAGACATGGCTATGTTGAAGTTAATTCTCCAGATGGAAGCTACACACGAGGACTTGTATTTATCATCCATGGATCAACACTCTGTAGCAAGTATCTCTTCACCCATAAAGCAGTTAATCAAAATTCTGCAAATTTGTAATGTTAATATATTAACGTTAATTTTCTTCTTTCTTTTGATTCTTTAACTATTTTATAAGGTAAGAGATCCCTCTGAATAAATAGTGTTAAAGCTTATACTGGTTTTACGGAAGCAATGGTTTAACTAAAGAAATTGACTTCTGCATCTCAAATGTTGAATTTTTTCACTGAGTTAAACCTGCATCACCTGCTTATAAAAAAAAATATTCATCGTACATACTGAGCCTCCAAACTGAATGCACAAAGGGTAATGGGCAAGGGAACACCAAAATCTAATTAACCAATGGCATTAAGTCAAAGTAACTGCTTTTTTTTAAGTATCATGTAGAAGCAATACTGCACAGAACGGATGCAGCCAAACAAAAGAGACAAGTTATTATTTCAAGGAAGTTTTAAGAGGATATTCAGAAATTAAATTTGAGTTCGCCTCAAACTACAAACATTTGATACATGAATCAAAGCAAGGTTTTAAATATCGGTTATCGGGGATTTATCGGACGGTCAAAGTCCATATCGGATAGCGGATATCGGGATATATTAGGGATAAATAGTATTTATCGGAGTGATATTACCGGCTGGTGATATACATAATATAATATTCTTAAATGTAATATAGCCATACTTAATGAAATATAAACATACCAAAATGTAAATAATTATGTTTAGGATCACTAACCAATGGTAGAAACTTGGGTCGGGTCGGATTTAAAGTGCATTGAATAGGTGCCCGTTGCACAAAATCAAAACTCAAGCCAAAGGCCGATAATTCTGATTTTTGGGGCAACAATATCGGCCAACAACTCACTTTATCACTACATTATCGGCGATAAATATCCAACAACGATAACCAATTTAGAATCGAACTTATCATAGCGGAAGGCCCCCAAAACCGATAAATCACCGATATTATCAGTTTATTGGCCGATATTTAAAACATTGAATCAAAGGGATTTGATGCCTTGCTTTGGGCAGAAATGAGGAATTTGCTTTTGGAATTTTTTTATATTTTCTATTTTTACCAAAAACTATGTCTGATATGATATTATTGCATGGAATACTGAATGAAATCAGAAAAGCACAAATCCTTTCATACTCTTTTCTCATTCATGCTCTCTTTTTCTTATTTCTAAATTGCTGAAATCCAAGTGGTCCTCCCTGGTTTGTGTCAATTAGCACGAGAAGTAATATATGCAAGGTAAAACCAATATAAAGCCTTAATTAATGGGCCAACATCTAGCAGAGCAGCCACACGTGAGGATCTCTTATTGCTTTACTTAACATCTTGAGTTGATGTGGTTATATCACTGTGACAAACCTTATAAAACAAAAAAGTACACATTGCATGATACAAACAGAATAAACTACACGAATTAATGTATGCACCTCCAACAATGCAAATGGAAGATAAAGAAGTCAGAATCCAAAAGTTCAGATTACTCACATCATTAAAACACCAGCAGGAACGAGTTACAGCTCACTATAGTTGCGCCATACTGCACGGAATTCCTCCCTAAATGTGTTCAAACGTGCTTTCAGATTAGGGGTTCTAAAGCTGGCATGGAGTATTGTTGCTACAAAAAAGAATAAAAACTGATCATTCAAGTGAGAGGAAAAAAAACTCCCAAGACAGAGAAATTAAGGGGAGCTTCATCCATACCAAGAAGACCAAGAGCAAATGCCCACAAAACAGCAAAGAGGGTACAAGACATAAGCCACAGGGTGCAACTGGCTGTGTACAGAAGATAACAGAAGCAGTCAAAAAAATGCTAAGCTATTTAAATTGCGAAAAACTTCAACTAAATTAACCTGCTGAGAATACAAAGACAAACACCCAACGAGGCCATCCACATATAAAAATTCCTCTTTTTGAAGCTGGCCGTCCACGGAGAACAGGCCTGAGTGCATTAAAGCCAAAAGCAACTTTAGTTTGTAGCCAAGAGATGCAAGTGTTGCACACATAATAACGACTAAGTAAAATGAACTCACGATGTAGGTGGCCTCATCTTTGCAGCTAAATGAGGAGAAAACTGTCTAACAGTCCTTGTTACTTTTTCATTAAACGTAACTGCAAAGCTGCAATAAGCAAAAATTCCAAGCAAAAATTGTTGATTCGAAAAGGTAAAAAGATCCTCTTCTAAATGAAATTATATCATTAAACAAAAAAATAGACGATCTAATACATGCAAAAGGGGTGTTTCAAACTGCAAGAATAATGTATGATCAGTTGGAATTTGCAAGCATTGATGGATCCAGAAAATTTTTCTTGGAGAGATGGACAACATGTATACATTTGTTCTGTGATTATATAAGAAAGATGGTTTCCTCAAAATTATGGGGGTAATTGCAATTTTAGAAGGGTTTAAAATGTAAACTTAAAGGTACTAGGGGTGCAATTGTCCCCTAACAATCAATGCAGATCCACCCCGGGTTGCAAGATGAACTTATATCCATGGATTACACAATAATCTCATACTCTATAACATGTAAAAATAATTTCAATTGCAGATGAGTTAGCTAACCCGCGCGACGCAATAATTCCAAATATTTGATGTTTCTTGAGATCTTAATAGGAAACATTCCCACACAAACTATTTCTAATATTCAATTAAGAACTAATGCTCATCATTATGTGAATCCATTCCCATGACAAGGGGATCAATTATGGACCGCGTCAATGTTTTTCCTCTGGGAAGGCCTCTGTGAGTGTTTTTGACCTACCTGCTTATGCTTATCAAAGTACAAACAGAACGTATTCGGATCATGCCTCATCTAATTGTAAATCTCGCTCATTACTAGATTGTTGCCAAATCGAATACTAGTTTATATCTGTACGAGATACCAGACAATGTTAAATGTTTCTTTATCATCCAATAAGACAGTGATGTTATAAGACAACATCATACTTGGCTTAAATAACAATAACAAGAAAATTGTTATCCATTTGGGGGCATCTTAAATGAATCTTTTTCTTCGTCTGAATTGGCTATCTGTCAGTTACACCAGTAATGAGCATGATTTTCTAGTAGCTTTATTCTAACTCCTCTTCATTCTGGCCCATTTTAATGGTAACTCAAATCAGCACTTCATATTCCTCTTTCATCCAAGCCCGTACACCAAATCAGTCTCTACCAATTCCACACAAAGTTATTTACTTAGAATTTCAAAGTTCTCATACGATGTTCTGAGCGCACCTATACGGTACGAGCGATTGCATTGATACAGTATTCTGACAGCACCTACATGGATTGAAATCGATGTTGTGCATTGATTACACTGATTTAGACGAGATAGCGAGACACGTGTCCTGTCTTCCCTACTCCCTGCGCTTCTCTATAGACACCCCATGTGGGATTTTGTTTTCTTGACCACCCAACATTTTGGGACACAAAATGTCAAGAAATCGACAACTGCGTCAAACGTCCACAAACGAAACCTAAGATTACCATTCAAGCTACGCCCATAAAGAAAT